AAAGATGTTATCAGGGGGGGGGGTGAGGCGATCCGATCCAATTCCCTCACGTTTACAGGCTCCTATAGTTCCACGAGACGTGTCGAATCTTCGGCGATCGTACAAAATCGAGGAATCCTGATGCGAGCGTTCTCAAAGAAGATCAAGACGCTCCGTAGACGCAGGCAGAGTTGTCCGGCGGACTGATCTTCTCCTCTGGCAACACTGCCGCTCTGTGCCATTCGTCTCGTACCTGAAATTTATTTTTAATAAGTTGATACGAATAGTAACATGGCTAAGAAATAGTGATTTTATTTATTTTAATACATTTCGTACGAAATAATTTTTCTTGGGCTGGTAGAATTATAATTTGCCTTTCTTTTGAATAATTGGAACGAATGGAACGGTGTTGGTGATTCCAAATTTTTTAATATTGGCTGGGAATTTTAGAAAAAAAGAAAATATAAATATCTGGTTTTTTGTATGCTACACGATAAACAAATTATTTGATTTATATGGATAAGTATAATCATTTATTAACATATAATTAGATCAGAATTCCATTTGTCTTCAAAGATAGCTAGAAAAATATTGATTTTAAATGAATAGAAAATTTCTACTTGGAGAACAGTTATAAAGTTTCGTACCTATTTGACCAATGTTCCATTGGAAGTACTTTTCTCCATCGTGTTCGAATCCCCACTCTACTTAAAACTTACTACTCCTTTTTCTTGCGAAATATACAAAGATTCTCCTCTTACTAAAATGAACGTACTAAACCGACTTACAAAAAAATTTCCAATTTATTACCCATTCACCTCCTTAAATTCAATCAGTTTAAAGAAAGAAAGAAAAAAAACAATATTCAACCCACCTGCTCGACCTTGGCGAACACCCTCAGCAAATTGAGGCCAGCCAACTTCTTGATATCGTCCTCGGTCCACGTCGGGTCCTCGAGCAGTGTTGCCAACAACTGAGGATACCTCGAAACGTCCTCCAACCCGGTAGGAGTGCTGGAAAAGCGCGCATCGATAATCCACCAATTCCAATCCACTTTCGATTTCCAACGATTCTCGTGCCGTTCAGAGAACAGAAAGAGAGAGAGTTTCCACGACAATAAAACTAAATTCGTCCCTGGGTATCAATGGGAGCAATATTATAATTTTATACAAATGTCGCCATTGTACACCGTGTGTACCTGAACGTGGAACACGGCATCCATTAGATTGTAATTGCTTCGTCGAGGTGTCGAGCATCGATAATGATTATTCTCTGAACAGCGCGTTGCGATACTCGAAAAGATAATTACAAATTTATCCCGTCGAAGCCAGCTCCTATTCCAACGTGATCGATCCCCGCCACCTTTCGAATGTGATTGATGTGCGCTGAAACAGCATGGATAACACGCGCCCTAATATTAACCTCTGACGTGACGAATTTAAAATGTTGATTTTATTATTTTGTAACACGCGCTTTAATGCATTCGCCCTGAATAAAACCGCCCGTAATTTGACTCGCGTTTAAATCGCGTTCAAATTAATTTTGAACATCGAAGAAACGAATCGATCAGCGCGAATGCGAAATGTGTTTTTTTTTATATATCCAAAAGTTAATGACGCTGGATTTATATATATGTGTGTTATTTTATTCGGCATTTCGATATAGGAAAAGAGAGATATAAATTATCAAGTTTAATGGAAAATATGGGTATGTTAAAATCGTTGAATATAGGTATAGGTGGCTAATTTATATCGCGTTGAGGGGATGAGTGGAAATTTTTGCAGAATTGAAATAAATTCGATGTAATGTAAAAATTTAGAAAATTGTGAAATATTTATATTTGTATTTGATTTTTATTTATCGTGGATTTTATTCGATTGTCAAACTTGTCATCTATTTTCTTTTTTTTTTTTTTTTAATTATTTTAATAAGAGAGAATTTTAAATTTTAGCCACGAAAAATAGTTTTTAATGAATTAATTATATGTGTCTCTTAAATAAATTATAATTTTAGATACATTATAATTTTATTGTATATATGTACATATGAATATATTCAAAGATAGTTGGTTATATCGTCGTATGCATATAATGAGTAAAAATGAAATTACTTAAACGAATTTTTATTCTAACTTGAAATTAATTCTAATTAACTTTTAATTATCTCGGTAGTTTTGTGTAATGAGATTTTAAATTGAAATTCTTTTTTCAATAGAATTCCAAGTCAATTCCTTTATTTAGATAATAGAATTTTAAAAGTTTATCGGTCAATTTTAACTTTTCACAACTTTATACTTCTGATTTTAAACTTTTAAATCTCAGTGTAATTTTTAATACAATTATACTAGTTTAGCATACGTTAATTTCCTCACTTTTTAATCAGAATAACGATACTACTAAATTTAATAGATTATTATTGATAAATATTTGATTCAATAGAAA